TAGCCATTTTAGGTCGGGAATTTTTTGGAGTTCTATCTGGAATTGATTTCGGCTTGCACTGGACTTGAACTTTGCCGTACTTTATGCTCAAAAATTGAAAACTCATCCCACTTTTGCGAGTGTTTCCCTCATTTCGCTGTTCATCTCATTGAGGGTTGTCTGCACGAATTGGGCTTTCAAATAAATGATCCGGTTTCGAAGGAAATTCTAAAAAACAGTTTCTTTTTTAAAGAATGTTTGTCTAAGCAATTGAATAAAACCTCCTCACCTCAAGCATTTGTATCGATGTCTCGAGAAGCTCGACCCCTGCCTCGCCAATCTCTTCTCGTACCCTTCCCGTTCTTTTTATTTCAAGAGCTTCGTCAAGCTTGGAAAGCTTAAAGATACTGTAAGATCTTATGCACTTTCTAAAAGACATTTAGAAAAACCGTAGTGAAGTTTACATTAGACAGCTTCAAGACGGGGTTCTTGGGAGGTCCGGAAGGCTAACTTCTCACAGACAACAGACTTGCACTAGTAACAGACAAAAATACTTTGTACAGTCTTGTACTTGTATTTAGCACAGTGCTGATTCACAATATTATATAGCATAGTACTAATAATATACTACTTAACAATGCGGTAGTGTGCAGAAATATCTTTTCTGTTATGCGATCCTTTCTTGTCACTTTCAAACAGCTGAAATTCGGTCTTTACGGTCCAAAAGGTCAAAATTAAAAATTAAAATTGATTTGGTCTAAACTTTTTCCGATCATTATTTGTCTTTTTTTGTTCATAGTAAAGCATAGGAACTGGTTTTGAATATATTAGGTTGTCTGGAAATAAATGAGCGTTTTGTATTGTTTATTATTTGGATACATCTTTCTCAATAAAGTATGCTCTGTACCTTGTAATGTTATATACCATTAGAAAGCTGAGTTCGCGCTCTCTTTAGCCATGCTTTTAAATTTTGTTAAAAATAAAATTTTTTGCGAATTTTAAGCTTCGCCGTTTTAGATGTCCAAAACTAAGTTTCGCCAGATTTTCTTTTATGAGTTCAAACTCGGTCGCAATGCAGCTGAAACGGCTCGTAACATTAGCAAAGTTTGGGGGCCAAGGCAGTGTCGGCGAGTCAACAGTGCGAACTTGGTTCCGAAAATTCCGAGGTGGTGATTTTGATCTCGAAGATAAAGAAGGCCGTGACCGTCCTGTTGAACTCGATGACGACGAAATGAAGACCCTGGTGGAAGCAAATCCACGTTCAACTATTCGAAAGCTTGAGGAGGAGCTTGGCGTGGGCAAGACGACCATTTCTGACCACTTGAAACGGATTGGAAAGTCAAAACGCTCGATAAATGGGTGCCGTACGAATTGAATAAAAATCAAAAAAAATCGTCGTTTTCGTGTCGTCTGCTCTTCTTTAGCGCAACAAAAACGACTCGTTTCTCGACCTGGTCGTAACGTGCGATGAAAGTGGGTCCTCTACGACAACCGGTGACGTTCCGCTCAGTGGTTGGACGCCGGATAGGCTCCACAACACTTTCCAAAGCCAAATTTGCACCAAAAGAAGGTTGTGGTTTGTGGTTTGGTGTCGGTCACATCCATCACAGCTTTCTGAATCCGGGCGAAACGACTATGGCGAAGAAGTACTGCCAACAAATCGACGAAATGCACCAGAAATTGCGGCGAATGTGCCCGACATTGGTCAACAGAAAAGGTCCGACGAAATGAAGACCCTGGTGGAAGGTGGAATTCTTCTCCACGACAACGCTCGCCCGCACCTCGCACTACCAATCCTGCAAAATCTCAACGAACTGAGCTACGAAACTTTGCCTCACCCGTCATATTCGCCAGAGCTTTCGCCTACCGATTACCACTTTTTCAAGCACCTCGACAACTTTCTCCGGGAGAAATGCTTCAAAACTCAGGACGATGTCAAAAACGTCTTCTCCGACTTTATCGCCACCAGAAGCCCGGACTTCTATGCTACCGGCATAAATAAACTTGTTTCTTGTTGGCAAAAATGCGTTTATTGCAGTGTTTCTTATTTCGATTAATCAAGTTTTGTTTGGATCAAGTTATGGTATTTTAAATATTCAAGTTAAAAACGCTCATTTATTTCCGGACAACCTAATATTATTGATTCTGAACTGTAAAGTTCAATTTAGCCGAATTCCCCAACCTTTTGTATATTCGTTCTCAATTTTGCGCAAAATTCGTCGCTTTTCCTCCGAATTTCCTTATCATTTTCGACGTTTTTGAAGTCAAGCCGCTTTTCGGATAAAATTTCCTCAAAAAAACGAAATTTTACAGATTTACAAAAATGTCAAACCTGTATCTGTGACTCTAAAAGATTCTTGGCTTCAGGAATATTCCCAGCTTTCAATAGCTCGTTTAAACGCTGATCGATCTCTTTCCGAGCCATCGTTTCCGCGATTTGCAACGTTTCTGGAGAGCTGTTCTGAAAACGAAAACATTTTTCCTTCAGATTCTAGATCAATTTATTTCTAAGATTGCTTACTATCTAGATAATGTTGTCATCCAACCCACTTTCAAAGCTTTTCGAAAGATTTCGCTGCACTTGTTCACCGCCACGGCCACCGTTGCTTCTTTGCTCAGCTAAAATTTCCTCGTTGTACTTTGTGCTAAAAAGTTGTAAACGCACGCTTTCTGGTGTATTGCAAGACTTGTTTTAGTGTGCTTTGTGTTAAAGTTTCTAAACGCAAACCTTCTAGCGCACTGAACTCCTCACTTTTCTCACAACAGCGATTTCCCCAGACTCCTCAGAAAAATGAGGAATCGAGTGCACCAGAAAGGATGTGTCTAGTCATTTTTGAGCATAAAGTATATCCATATATTACTGTAACTTTAAAGTACTGTAATGATTATTTAGCTTCATCCAAAAACTCACCACCGCAGTCGTTTTCAACTCGGGCGCCTCGTATTGAAGATAGTCGACAATTTTCTGAAAATATCAAATTTTTCAAGTTTCATTCAAAAGTTATCTGCCAACCTGAGCCAAGTCGATTTTGTCTTCAATTTCTTTTCCGTGAAAATTCTTGCACTTTTCGATCACCGAGTACTTGATCCGCGCTAAGCAGCTGAGCAAGGGGAAATCTGAAATTTCGAGTTTCAACTAGACTAGAAAATTCCAACCCGAACCTAATTTCACCTTCGTTTTCTCAGTCGTGATCAATTGTTCTGAAATTTTGTTTACAAATAGAAATTATCATTCTCTTCTTGTAAACAGAATTTGCCAGGAACTGAGAAAACGAAGGTGGAGTTAGGTTCGAGTTGGAATTTTCCTATGTCTAGTTTTAATCTTAGTACTTCAATCAGATAATTGTTAAATTGTCAATTGTCAATTCAAATCCCACCTTGTTCCTGAACTTCTAAAAGTTGATTCGCAAAACGAACATTATCTGAAGCTCTCGGTGTGCAGAAACACTCAATTTTGGGGAAATGGCGACGAAGCGACGAAGATATTTCTCGTAAATCCGACGAATTCTCGTTTTGAGCCTAATGAATACTCCTATAGTAAGCAATTTCCTAAAAGGCCCAAAGCTACCACAAAACTACTGTTTGATCAATCTAAAAACTCACCCAAACACGCTCCAAAAACGTTCCCTCTTGATCCCAATCCGGAGTGTCTCTGACTACGAAAATCAAGGACTAAAATATACTTTCAATTTTGAAGACTATGCTTATTTTAAAAATTATAAACCTCTGCCAGTTTCCCGTCACGAAAAGCCGCCGATATCTCAGCGAACATATGAATGTCGAGAAGATCGTTGCCACCAAGATTTCCCATCAAATTTACGAGCTAAAGTCGTAAAGTTCTTCAGATATCGTTTAGATAATCTTAAACACAATTGCTTTCGACTTTACTGATCTGAGAGTTAAAGTTTAATTTTTTTTAATTGTCAGTGAGACTAGCCGAAAACGCTCGTTTTTCGGCGTTTTTCGCTGGCGACGCACTTTCTTGTTTCAAATGACTAAAACTACTGTAGCCCATGTTAAGCTCCGCCCCTTTTTAAAAATGGACCTAAAAGTCAAATTCCTCATGGCTGAAAACCCCAGGAGCCATGACAGACAGAGAGACAGACGAACAGACAGACAAACGCCCCTCCTGCTTTATATATGTTACGTCCGAATCCGACCAGGCATCCGGATCTGATCCGGACGTCCGAATCCGGCCATTGATTATCTTGTGGTCGGTTTCGGCGGTCCTAATCCAACCACAATCCGATGATCCCGCTTGATACATCGAATTTTTTATAATTTTTTAACTATGATATTTTCACCAACGCAAAATTTAGGCTAAGAAATTTAAGTAATATAGTTTGTGAGTTTCCAATAAATTTTAAAAATTGCATGTCTTCGCCCATGTTTGCTAAAAAAAATGTTCATTCCACCCTGAACCACCGCGTTTGTCAAAAATTGAGCGATTTTTTTAAAAATTGTTGCTCATCTTCATGGTAGACAAGTAGTAGCTGATGTTTATATTTAAACTTTCATGTTTTTACTTTTTAGGTCATTGGTCTTCAGAATGATCGCTTTTAGCGATCGATTCGAGAAATTCGTACAAGAGCGACGCAGTCGAGCTTTCCCGACTAATGCAGGTTATGTAAAGATGATCGAGACACTTCAATCAACATCAGTCAATTGGAAATTAACTGAAGAACGAAATCTTCACCGGCGTTTCTCTCTATTCAGAAATCGGGACAATAATTCTTCTGCACCATGGTGATGGAGCCAAGAAAAACGACGGGAAGAAAGTCATCAAGCGTGAGGACCTCTATGAATTGCTTCGACAAAAACATTCAACGCTTAGACACGCTGGGATCTGTTTAATGTGGAAAGCCCTCCAAAATTATTATGGGATATCGAAAAAAGTACTGAAGATTTTCGTGGATCAATGCGAGGAATGTAAATTGAAGAAGAAGCTTCCAAGAAAGGAATAGTTGTGAAGCCAATCATTTCTAACCACAAATCAGCGGTGTCAAGTTGATTTGATCGACATGCAAAGTGCTCCAGATGGCGACTACAAGTTTATTTTTGTTTACCAGGTAAATTATTTTTTTTTGTTTTTCAAGTTTATCCTTCTTTATTTATGTTAATACTTCTTATTTTAGGATCACCTCACAAAATTCGTCTCGTTGGGGGCTCTGAAGACAAAAACGGCAAAAGAAGTAGTCGACAACATCGTATCGATTTTTGGAACCTTTGGTGGTCCCCAAATTCTTCAGACAGGTAAGCTATTTTAAGAAAATAAATCGGAATTTTTCATAAAATGTATTGCATTTTTGCATTTTTTTGGTGGGGCTATAGGAGGAGGGGGGTGAGTAAAATACACCTTTTTTTATTTTTGCTTTTAGACAATGGCAGAGAGTTTGCAAATAAACTCTTGGAAGAAGCCGTCGCTCAATGGCCTGGTTGCAAGATCCTTCACGGGAAACCGCGCCATTCGCAGTCACAAGGAAGTGTAGAACGAGCAAACGCGGATATCGAGGTTCGTTTGGCTGCTCATAAAAATACTTGTGATCGTTTAGGATATCTTGAGGGTTCATCAAAGAGAAACAAAAACTACCGGGTGGGCCCGATTTTTGCCCCTGATTCAATATCGTAAAAACATCAGGTAACTTTAGTTTTTTTGGTAATTTACATTTGTCGATAGATTTCATTCCGGTATTGGACGTAGCACATATGTTGCAATGTTTGGACGAGGCTACAACGATTACTTAGGAAGAAGTAAGGTTTGAAATATTTGTAGGTCTGGAATATTTGAAGTAAACTGTGTGGTTTAGGTTGTCAGACGTTTCGTCAGACGACGACGAAATCCAGCAAACAAGTGTCTACAAGGAGGAGGAGGAGGAGGAGAAAACGCTTCAGGTTAATTTAAATCTAGATTTTTTTTATTCGCAACTTTAGGAAGATAATTCTACACGTTACGCCGATCTACGACCTGTAAGCTTCATGGGTTCAATTGAGAGTGGTGTTGAGGTATAGATTACGTTTTAAATACATAAAAATAATGTTATTGTTTAGAAATTTCCTGAATTCGCAAATCAGGGGAATAATGACGCCGACTTTCAACTTGAGATTGTTGCTCCAGTGCTTGGTTTGCTTCTTAAAATATTTACTAAACGCTATTTGGCTTTAGGTGTTCAAAAAGATGAGGAGCAAGCGGAAATCGATTGTCTACACGATTCGATTATGATGGAAAGACATGGAGCCCATTCTGCTCAAAAGAATCAGGCACGAAAGATGCTTCACGCCAGTGAACAAAGTTACTTTTGCGTTTTCAATGTTTTCATTATGATTACTTTTAGATTTGCACCAATTGATGTTGGACAAAATGTTTTGATGCTAATTCCTTGTGTCGATCGACCCAAGATTGGACCACGAAATTTGATGGGAGTCGTCACAGGTACTCTTAAATTTATTTCTAAATGTAAAAAGAAATTCTAGTTGTAACTGATGGTTTTTACTCGATCGGGACACAAAATGGGCATCGGCAAAGATTCACTAGAAATCAACTGGCTCCATGTGGGGCTGAATTCTTCTCAAGCAATTCAATTCCGGACGAGGAGACGTCGCTGAGAACTGCTGTTGGGGCAGCATCGATCTCTGGGAGCCAAGGTAGGCACATTTATTTGCGCTTATAATCTTTCTTTTTTCTTTTTACAAATTCAAATGTTTTTACCTCAGCTAAAATATTATAATTTTAGGTCACGCTCATTGCTTATGCCTGAGCGGATGTACGACAAATTGATGTGCTTGTCGAAAGAAAAGTCTACTTTGCAACTCGAGATGTCACCATGCAAGAAGTTGGACTAACAAGTTATATTTTTGTTTCTTGTTTTGGCTCTTTTCAATTTCAGAATGACGCTTTTAGTAGCATGCATTATGTGCGTAGTAAAAAGAGCTTTTGTTTAAGTTGATTGTTATTTGACTTTGTTTTTCATTTAGTTTGTTTGTTGTAGCTTGAAATTTAGACAGTTGCTAACTAATTTGATTAATGTTGTTAATGGTTGTATTGCGGATAAAAATGGGTTTATGTCAATCAATCTTTTTAAAAAAACTAGTTTTTGATAAAGGCTAACCAATTGTGCAACAATTGTGTAAGTGACTTACAAGAGGTTCGTCTATTAGAGGAATACCCCTTCAATAATTATGTTTAATAAATTTGCTCAATTAGCATTAAAAATTGGTTAATTGGCATTTATCGGATTGTGGTCGGATTAGGACGTCCGAAACCGATCACAAGATAATCAATGGCCGGATTCGGACCTGACATATATTGATAATCTGCTTGTCAAAAGTTTAACCTGTATGTCTGAGAAAAGAAGTGAAAAGCCGGCGATCCATGCCGAGATTGTTCTATCTGTTTGCATGTCGAAAGTGCCCTGAGTGTCGAGGAAAAAGACGGCATGCTGAAAACTTTTTGACTTTAAAGGGCTTAGGTTTACGGTAACGGCTTTATAACTTTGTATTCTTGTAAAACATGATTGTCACAGTAATCTCTCAGTACCAACCGTCTCGTTGATGAAAATCGGCCTCGTGAAGATGTGGATTCCCTCGGTGAAACGCTGAAGACCCGATTGGAAAGCACCACTGCAATAAAGGGATAAAGAACTAATTTAGCTTTTACCTATAATCTTATTTGCTAAACTTACTGTATTTTGTTGCCATCGACTCCATTTGTGAGCACGGACATAAGAAAACTCTTCCCCGATCTCGATGGGCCCATCACACTGACGAAAGTAATCTAAAAGTCAAATTTAATGTTTGTGACAAAGCATTTGATTAGCTAGTGCCATGTACAATGTATTATTTTATATATGATGATCTAATTTTTAAATTGACCCACCTTTACCCCTCGATATTTCTCATTAGCAAACGTTTCTCGAGCTACTGTCTCGTGGAAGTTGAGCCGATTCTCATCAAAGGTCACCAACGGGATCAACGAGTTTTCCTAGATTGAATCAAAAGTTGAGTAACAATTTTATCATAGATAACGATCATTACTACTTCCTTACTGATGTCTTGGCTCTTGGCTGTAGTCAGGGTTTTGCTTAGATCCAAGTTTTGAGGTTAAACTGAAGCAAGTTTAGGCCAAGTCAAGGCTAGACCGATTAGAGAAAGTTAAAGCTAATAGGTCAACCTAAAGCTGAATAGATCGAGATTGAACTTTCTAATTTTGAGCCGATATGCCTGGTGACCTGGCAGTCCTGGCTGACTTTTGAAACAAGCCTGATTACAGATGTCAAAATCGAAATAGCCTATGGTAAGGCTAAATTTGTAAAAACTAATAAAACTGCTATTTATGAACTAATATAGAGTTGTAAAAGCAAGAATTCAAATTCAAACTCCAACCTCGTCAACTCCTCGCCTAATCACTTCATCGTCGACCATTTCTCTTCCAATAAAACTGAAAAAAATGTTTTACAAGTTTTACAAGTTAAAAATGTTTACAAAAAATGTTATCTTAAAAAAGTCAAAAAACTTTCGGTGTTTATGATCGAAAAAAGTTTCGCAAGATCGGCTTTGGGCGGAATTTTGTGACAGAAGAAAATTGAGAACAAAAAAAGATTTCGAAAAAACAAATGGGGTAGTTTTAAACCTTGAAGCTTTAACTTTTCTAAATTCTAATGAATTTAGCAATCATTTATCTAAATTCTTATTAATTTAACGTGCCAGATGGCATGCATTTATGGACTTTCAGTTTAAAGTTTAAAACCGAAAGCTTCTCTGGTAAGACAAGCGGTGGTACTGGCCTAGTTTACTCCCTCTCGAGCAAGGAAAACCAAGTGCGCTGTAGCGTAATGGTTAGCGTATCGGTTAGCGTAATGGTTAGCGTATTATTTATCGCCCTCCTAATGTAAATTTAGCAGACACATCTTCTCTTTTTAACCACCGCCGTTTTTAAATTCTGCTGAGTTTTTAAGTGATTTGTGACTGTCCAGACGACGTAATCGGTCTGCAAAGGTTGCCGCCTCTCCCGGACGCTGACCACCACTCAATCAGATTCAAAATTGGTTCAACCTGTTTTACTCCGAAGAAAAGGGATCACGTCTGTTTGCATTTTGATTTTGATTATGACCAAGCGGCGGTGTGCATACTAGACTCTCTAAATCGATCAGGTTTTTGTGCCTTCTCAAATTCTATTGATAAAGATTATGACAAAGACAAAGATTGCGCTAATCTCCTAAAATCGATGGAATTAGCTTGTGGTCATTCTCGTTTAATGACCCGGCCGCACTTCTTGAGAGCTAAAAGTAGATTAGCCCATTTTTTTTCGTCGTTCCTATTTTTTTAAAACGCTTAAACGACCCTCTAGTTAGTAAGGAACCGAATAAGCTGTTCAAATATTATCCTAAATTTGAGGAAAATAATGAAAGAAGTCCCATTAAATCGAAAAACGGGAAGTCTTTTTGCACATATATTAATTCTAAAACTAAGGCCCTAAACCAAGCTTCAAATTCCTTCCTTGATCCTTCCAATCCTAGTGAAGCCTTTTTAGACCCCAACAAAAATTGTTCTTGAGTTTCCTAAATTCTTACACAGCATTTCACAATCACCAGAAACCTAAAGAACCCTTTCCGTCTTTTAAATATGCTTTCCTTGTTTGGTCTCCCCGTTCACAAGTCTCCATTGAACGTTTGGCGAAAATTCAGAGGAGATTCACAAAAATCGCTTTATGGAGAATTAACTATTATAAATATTCTAGTTTGATTTATGAGGATAGACTTGCTCTTTTTGAACTAAAAACTTTACAACATTGTCGCTTTGTTATTGTTCTAGTTGAAACTTTCAAGATCCTGCGTTGCAAACAGATTAGCTCTTTTTTGTTGCCTTTTTTAATTTTAACCCGAGATCAGAGTCCAGAAGTGGTTCAATCATTTTGCTGACTCCTTTTGTGTCTAATGCTTCTTTATAAATTTTTGGCAAAAATGGCTTTTATTACACTTTTCGACTTTAGACCTTTGGGAAAAATTATGCGAAATTTTAAAGCAGAACAAAACAGAAAAAGATTAAGCAAGAAAATTTTTTTTGCAAATCTCCGGTTTTTCATTGTTTTTTTGGCTAAAAACCTTAAAATTTGTTTGAAATTTGAAAAATTATCTTTTTTCTTTATTTTCTTGCGCAAATTTTCATTGTTTTATGGTAAACAAACATGATGACTCTATTGATAAGGTTTTTAGAAAGTTTTTGAACAATTTTTATTGATATTTTGATAAACTAGTTGGAGTTTAGCCCTTGTAGAGTTTGAAAATGAAGAGAGGAGCAAAATCCAAAGTGATAACTGGTTCAATTACTGAAACTTGGCTAGATTTTTCTATGTCTTCTTCTATTTTACCTTAAAGTAGTTTCCCAGTTAGATCCTTCGTTTTTACCTGGATTAATTCCCTCTCGAGTAAGGGAGACAAAGTGCATTGTGGTGTAATGACTAGTTGCCTGGCAAGCGAAAAGTCGCGGGTTCGAGTCCCGGCGGCGCACATTGGATGGATCTCCGTGGTCGCCATTTCGAACTAGGGCAGATCAAAGACTCATGCGCCGCCGAGACTCGAACCGGCGACCTTTCGTTTATCGCGCAACTGTCCTAACCGTTACACCACAACGCATTGGATCTCCGTTACTCGAGAGGGAGTTAACTTTGCTTCTCTGTGCTTCAAGCTTCTCTCACGCATAATCTTGCCTCAAATAAAAACTGACTTCATTTCTGTCAAATTTCAGAGAATTTTTTCGAGAACAACATCAACCATGACGAGTCCCGAGGTAAAAAGTGCTGGCTTTAACGAAAGAATCAAACTTTTTAGATAGAATCTAGACTTAAAAAGCTATATAAACTATTTATTTTTCTTTTTTCCTATTTAATACCAAATTTCAGCCACAATCAACCACCGAGGAGGCTGTCGATGAGCTCTACAACCTCTACTTGAACAACGTCTCGGTGAGTAATTATTCTTCAATATAATTGTTCTCTACTTTGATACTCAATTAGTACACCAGAACATAAATGTTTAAAAGTGAGCGCAAAGTATGCCCAAAGAATGACAATCACAACAGTTTTTAACACATTCACGACGATAAAACTCATCAGTACTAATGATGTACTAATAATGAAAAATGAGCACATAAAGCTAAACCGCTAAACAAATTATTCTCAAATTCTTCGTTGTAGATTTAACTTTTTATCTATCTTTTTATTTTGTCATTAAAATACAGTGGTCCACAAAAGTAATGCCCCATTGCCATCCAACAGTATGTTTTGTAAGGAAATCTTGCAAAATCGACATTTCAGAAAAAGAGTAGGGTATTTTTACCGACCCATAAGACTCGACTTTTCAAGAATATAAGATTTATCCGTATACATTACATACAAATTAAATTATAAAACAAAAACAATAAGCTACTTGAAAATTAGCTCCACAAAAGTAATGCCCAATTTGCAAAGAATTAACACAATTTTTAAAAATCAATACTTGTTTGGTCCTCCTTTTGCTTTTATTACTTCATTGAGTCGATTCGGCATGGAATCCACGAGATTCTTCAAAAGACTTTGGGGGATGGTGGCCCAGAGACGTTGAATGTGAACCCATAAGGCAGCCTTCGAATCGAACTTCTTTCCCTTGAGTCGTGACTTCACAAATGACCAGAGATGCTCGATAACATTGATATCCGGTGAGTAGGGAGGCGGATTGATCAATTTGACTCGACTTGCCGCAAACCAGCCCGGAAGTCGTGCTCGTGTACCATTTTGAAGAGTCAGCACCGTTCCCATCATGAGCCTTGACTTGTGTTTCGGGTCGTTGTCCTGGTAGAGCATCCATCCAGGAGGCATGGTTTGATTTGCAAAAGGAAGCATTTGGGTCTCCATAATGTTTTTGTAGGCCACAGCATCTATCGTTAAGTTGACGTGAACTAATGGACCTACTGAAGTTCGTGACATCGCTCCTAAAGAAAAAATTCAGGTGACAAAATACTAAAAAAGCTCTTACCCCAACACATTATGTTGCCTCCATTGAATTTCACCGTAGGCCGAATGTACTTGAGTGTGTATCGCTTTCCAGTCGGCCGCCGAATAAGATGGTTTCCGTCCGCGTGAAATAAATTGACTTTTGTCTCATCGGTAAATAGCACTTTCGCCCAATCACTTATTGTCCAACTTCGGTAGGCCCGTGCAAAATCAAGGCGCTGCTTCCGGTGCTTAGAATTCATCAGAGGTTTACGGGCAGCCCTTCTTGCATATAATCCAGCTTGATTTAATCGTCGTCTGATCGTTTCCGGTGATACAACCTTGTTAAATTGATCCCTCATCATTTGGCTTCCATCGGTTGGTGTTTTGTTAGGATCGTTTTTCACCATTTGGATCACGGCTCGATCTTCTTTTGTGGTTGTGATTGGTCGTCGGCCACTCTTAAGGCCTCGATGAAGGTTTTTGCCGACTTTTGATTGAGAAAAAATGCGGCGCACTGTCCATATCGAGCAATTGAAGAGGTTGGCCACATCCTTCTCCCGCATCCCATTTTCCCGGGCCTTAGCGATTTGGAGCTTCTTCGGAGTGTCAAGATTTTTCATGTCAGGGATCTAAATAATACAATAGAGTACATTTAATGTTCATAGAAGGAGAAGCAAAAAGAATAATCATGAAAACGATCAATGGGGCATTACTTTTGTGGAGCTAATTTTAGGGGTAATTGCACTCTTCCACCTCGATCTTTTGATTGGAAGGATCTCAATCAAAAAAATCCAGTTATTTAACAACTAGAATTTCTAAAGTATTTTAAAAGAAAAAAATATATATTTTAAATACATGTTTTCAGGAGGAATTTTGCAAAAAATACTTTTGAATGGCAATGGGCCATTACTTTTGTGGACCACTGTAGGTTTCATTAGAAAAAACAGTCAAAATCGCATCATCGGGCCTTTTTTTTGAACATTCGGCTTCTTTCTAATCAAAAATCTTCAAAATAAAGCTTTTCAGAAAGTTTCAAAAGTCATTTGAAAGAGAAATCATTGGACCATCTAATGGAAAAACCGTATTTCATTTAGCCTGAGACTGATTCAAATAGGAAATGAATTTGGGTGAAAGGCTTTGTACTAGTTTTCAGAAGAAGATTCAAGGCTATCAAATGACTATAATAGTTTAGTTTATCTTTGAAGTTTTACCAAATTATCAGTAAAACAGCTAACAGTTAACGCCTACTCGACTGTATGCTCCAAATAGCGTCATCGCGAATGTATAAAGAGACAAAATGCTCAAGTCGAATAGATCGTCGATAGATTGGCCAATAGATTGATCGATAGAATAAACTCTAACAGATTGGATAGATTTACAGTAGCCTAACAGTTTGCAGTAGGTTTTAGTACATTTTTAATACCTTGAAATTTTAGTACATTGAGCAGTACGA